GCAAAAGTCATCAATGGAGCTGACAGAGGCAGCACATGGACAAGTCGGTGGCTTGATGAGAATACACCATGCCCTCTTACCACCAGATCTTCTGTCTCCTGCTGCCAGAGGCCGACTCCAGCAGGTCCAGGGGTCCCTGAAGGATGGACAGTGTCGGTGAGGGAGGGATGAGGAAGCCACGAGAATCTTTCTGGTCACCAGGCAGGCATCTCTGCTCTGACTGGGGCTCAACTTTATTTTATAATTAAGTGTTTGGGGACTGCACAGAAGTGGTATTTGCCTTAGACAATGATTTCTGATGACAAACTTTTTTTGATATGTAAGAATTTCCCAGAACATAGATTTGTAGAAGACTCCTGCATAACTTTATCAATAGTGATTGAGGTAGGTGATGTAGATGCTTATCCTATGGGGAAAGAAGGATCTTTAGCATACAAGACACTATTTTTCGCATAAAAAGGGTGAAGTTAGTTCTTTGAGAGCAGGGGTCAATAGCTTGTTTGCTTAAGGGGAAGTATTAAGAAAAACAGATCTTCCAGGAAACACAATGTTTGCTCCCATAATCACAAAAGAAGAAGTTCCTACAATAGGTTCCTTCACAAGGTGCAATCATCATATTCAGAGCCAGAATAAGTCACTCTCAATACTGATTGACAAAGATGTCTTGGGGGTTGGTGCTCCAAGCAGAAACAATTGGGTGATGGTGGATATCTGTCGCCATCTGACCCTTAAGAGTCTATGCACCTTACCTTAACCCCATAGGGAGTTCTTTCTCAACCTATGAGCTCAGAAACGGCTCCCAACATCCTGCCTTGCAGAGAAATATTCAGAGTCACTAAGATAGCTGAGTTCATAATCCTTGGCAAATCCAGCCCCTCAAGTTTCTATCCTCACCCTCTCCTCTCTTTTCCCTACATCCATATACCTCACACACTCTTTTGATCTCACTGTCACCCCTTCTTTTGTAACTTACACTTTATAAGAAACCTCTTCACCCTAAACTTTCAATAATAGACAACAGCTTAATTTATCTACCACTTCTGGGTAAGATTTGAAACTTTCAGTTACAAAGAAGGAAGACAATTTTGGGTTGGAAGAGAAATCCAGGGAATATTACTTGAGCAGAAAAGTTTTCACAAGGAGATATTCAATCAAACTTTGAACCAAAGCATCTAGTTATACTCTGGAATAAAATAATTAACACTGGACAAGGGGTCAAAAGAGTTTACTCCCAGTTCTAACTCTAACTTGTATAAATTTAAGCATGTTATTGCCCTTCTCTGGACCACTTCTCAGTATGAAATGAGTATGAGACACTGACAGAAATGTTCCCAAACTGTTTATTTCACAATGCTGTTCAAATCTGACTGATAAAGCTCAGCATGGTTTTAGATAATATTAAGATATTATGAGGTCAAGTCATGCAGAAATTCATAAAGCTTTCTTCAGACCAGACTTCTCCTTCCCATCAAGTTTTTGAATTAGATATGTACATGGAGAGAAGTGATCAAAGGCAATAAGATGACATGTAATTGTCAAATAAGCTAAGTCATCAACTCCAATATAAGGAAGTAGGGCTGGCCCAGGTATCTCAAGAATGTTCCCACCTTCCTCTAAGTTCAAGCTTGATTCCCACCATTGTACTATGCTCTGTTAACTGCCTGTGGACAGTGGGCTACAAAGAAGAGTTTGCTGGGGCCTGTGTATGTGCCAGAGTCACTCGTGCATGTGACCTGCTAAAAGCCCAGGGGACTCTGTCCCAGGATCTGACCAATTAGAGTGGGAAAAGCAAAGGATGGGAAACTGTCCAAGTCCACAGGGCAGGGGACTGGACTGGAGTAGGGGAGTTTCCTTTGAGAGAGTGATTTGATTTACTATGCATTCTGCCATATGGGTCACCAGAAATACAGATTTTTATTGCTTTCACTTTCTTGTTCAGAATCAACAGCAGCTATGCTTCTCAAATTCTGTTCCAGTCTCTTAGACATTCAAGACCCTCCAGTTTTGACCCAAACTACATGCACTCTCAATTCTTTGGACACACAGCCTCAAATCCACCCGAGCTGGATAACCTTGATTCCCACAAGCACCATGTTTACCTCCAACCTTTCACTGAGCCATTCACTTCAGTTTGAATAAACTCCCAACTTCTCTTTTTTAAAGTTGATCAAGGCAGATGTCTTTCATATAGCTCTCACTGATCCCATAAGGCTGCTGTGACCTTTCTGCTTTGAGTCTCAGTTTTATTTAGAATATAGGCAAGATTGGGGGTGGGAGAAGAACAGAGTATTAGGTGTTCAGAAGATCTGACCACATATTACCTGGGCAACTGTGGACAAGTTAGTTACCTTCTTTACTTGCACATTAGGGGTAATGATATTCACCCTCTAAGGACACTGTAAGGGCTAAGTAAGAAGGTACATATGAAATAACACAGTCCATGGCACATGAATTGTTCATTAAATGGTAGTTCACTCTCTGCACCCACATATTTAGAAAGAGGAGGAATCTGGTCCATCTTGACGCCCTCTATGACCTTACTTTAATTTCAATTTAATAATAACACTGACTATTCATTTAATAAAATATAGGGCCTCAGATGTCTACATCTCTACCTAAGGTATCATATTATATCCAGATATTTGCAATATATCAGGGAAAATAATGTAGGAAGAAGAAGGAAGCAAAGGAAGTTTGTATTCAAACACCCGCCACATGTACCCTCTCAGTTTCTACTCTTTCAGTTGCAAGTAACAGAAACTCAAGTCAAAATAACAAGCAAATAGGGGAACCAGGCAGTCTGAGGGTTTGTGTCTGCCTTCAGGCATGACTCATCCTACTTTCAGGGATGCCCTCTCGTCTTGGTTCTACTTTCCTTTTTGTTGACTTCATTTCCTTGCAAACTTTCTCCGCCTGTAAGGAAAGATACCCCTAGTAGCAATGCCTCTTTCCAAAAACACCTGGAAAACTCTCAGTGAAGAAACTGATTGGCCAGGTCAGAGTCATTGTCCACTTCCACACCAAGAGTTTAGCAGAGCAGCCATGATGAAACCACATGGAACGGATTCTCTGATGGACAAAGGAAGGAAACTGTGCCAGGCACCCAAAGACATCGCTCTAGTTCTTGTCCAAGATGGTGATGTGAGAAGACCCTGGACTCAACACCTTACCAAATCTACACCTATTTATATGGCAATTCCTCCTGAAGAAGAACCGAAGGGTGACTGAACAGTTTCTGCACAATACAGGTCGAGAGACCACATGGAAAGAAAGGCCACATAGGCAAGAGAGACAGAGACACGGTAAGGAAGAGAGTCCCCAGTACCTACACTGTGAATGGTGGTGGGAGGGATAGTACTGAGGAACAAGAGCAGATTCATCTGCCCTGGGGCACAGAAAAAAAAGTCACAGCTTTAAAGAGCAACTAGAATACAGGATTCAGCATTAGGCTCCACCAAACAGTAGGGGACCTGCTGGAACACTCTTGGGGTCCACAGTTTATGTCCCCCTCCATCTTGATACCATGAAAGGAAGTAAGGGCCCTGGCACTATGGCCACCTCACTGTATCTCATCTTGGCCCCGGAGTTCTGGGCCATAGGGGGAAAAAAAAGCGCTATGTTTAAAAAAGCAATTAAGATATAAAGGAACTAGCTCTAGAAGCCTGCAGGCAGGCAAGCTGCTGAAACCCTCTCTGGGTTCCAGTGGCTGGTGAGTGCCATGGTTTACATTTCCCCTCCACCTTGAGAGAGTGGATGGGAGCAAATTCTAGGTGCCCTAGCTGGCCTACTGCCTCCTTGACCCCCAGGCCCCTAACCCACACCAACCCCAGCCATCCCACCAAGGTGTCCCCAGGGTGGTGGACACTGAGACACTGAGACATCCGCATTATAGTTCCAGTGGACGCGACAAGGTGACACAGGGGCAAAGCATCCCAGAACACTCCAGGCCTTTGTTATTTTAGCTTCAGGTGGTTTTCTAGAGAAACTCCAGGACCTCCTAGCTCACACCTGCTTCAGCTCCAGCCACCATGTGAAGGAGCCCTCTGCATGGAATTCCCCAAGATTCCCCAGCCTGCATCCCATCTCAGCCCCAGGCATCCCACCAAGGCATCCCTTGCACTGAACATGAAGAGACATTCTGGCCTGTGCCCACTTTAGTGACAGCTGTCTTGCCATGGTGTCCCCTGTGCTGAGCACCCTGGGACCTCCTGGACTGAGCCCCGTCTTCAGCTCAAGCTACCCTACCAGGGAGACTTCTGCGCAGAGAGCCCCCAGGACCCCTTCCGTTGAATTCACTTCACCTTCATCTATCTTGCCAGGAGTCCCTCTGAATGGAGAGCCCAGAGATTGTCCTGGCTCATGCTCACTTCAGCTTTAGCTATCCTTCCAGGATGTTCTCTGCACAGAGAGTTCCAGGAGTGCCCCCACCCATATCTGCTTCCGTTCCAGCAATCTCACAGGGCAGTCCCAGCACAGAGTGCTTCAGAATCCCCAGCCCATGCCAGATACAGCTCCGGCCAGCCAGCCAAAGTCACCAGGCACACATAGTCTACACAGGGGATTACCATACGAGAGACCATTCCTTCAAGTTTAGGAATAGAAACAAACACAGAAAGTCAAGCAAAACAGGGAGACAGAGAAATACACTCCAAATGAATGAAGAAGACCAAACCTCAGAAAAAGAACTAAACGAAATGAAGATGAGCAATATGCCAGATAAAGAGTTGAAAGTAATGATCACAAAGAAAGTCACAGGACTGGAGTGGAAGAACTCAGTGAAAGCTTCAATAAAGAGTTAGAAAACGTACAAGAGAGCAAATCAGAGTTGAGGAATACAATAACTGAAGTGAAAAATACACTAGAGGGAATCAGTAGTACACTAGCAGATGTAGAAGAACATATCGCCAAAATGGAAGACAGGGTAATGGAAAGCACCCAAGCCAAATAGCTGAGCAATACTTAATAACAATAATAATAATAATTTTAAAAATGAGAATAGGAACTCTGCACAGTGGCAGTATTGTAACCAATGAGGTTTGTCCAAGGTGCAATTATTGCTAATTGAAAAAAATGAGGATAGGTTAAGGGATGTCTTGGACAATATAGTGAGTAAATATTCATATTATGGAGATCCTAGAAGGAAAAGAGAGAGAGAAGGGAAGAGAATTTATCCGAAGAAATAATAGTTGAAAACTTCCTTAATTTGGGGAATGAAGCAGATATCCAGGCTCAGGAAGCACAGAGAGCCCCCCAAAAGATTAGCCCAAAGATATCCACAGCACAATACATAATAATTAATATGGTAAAGTTGAAAGATAACATGAGAATTTTAAAAGTAGCGCGAGAGAGGCAGAAATTATGAACAAGGGAAACCCCATTATGGGATCAGCTGAGTTTTCAGCAGAAACTTCGTCATCAGGGAGTGTCATGGCACATTCAAAGAGCTGAATGGGAAAAACCTGAAACAGAGAACACTGAAGCCAGCAAGATTGTCATTCAGAAATAAAGGACAGATGGTTTCTCAGAAAAACAAAAGTTAAAGTAGTTCATCACCACTAAACCAGTTTTACAAAAACATGTTAAAAAGACTTCTTTGGGTGGAAAAGAAAAGGCCCTAATTACACTTGTTGGGATGAGCACGGGGGGTTATATGGAAACCAACTTGACAATAAACTATAAAAAAAAAAAGGCCCTAATTAGAAGTAAGAAAATTATGCACAAGAAGATGTAAAATATGACAACATATACATAAAACATGTATATAAAATAAACCAGAAAGCATGGGTGTAATTAACGGTGGATTTCTTGAGAAAAGCAAACAGCTGATACAAACTTGTTTAGGAAATGACAAAGGAGAGCAAACTTCAGGAAAAGTAAAGGAAATGATAGAGAACTCAGCAATGTAAAGGAAGAGGTTACGAAAAGCAAACGAGAATGACATATCAAAGAGAGGTATGTTGGAAATTAAATAGTTATAAGAATTCCACTCGATTTCAACACAGATAAGAAAAATTATTAGCAGAACATGCACATGTACCAAAGAGATGAAACAATTACGTGGCATGCACTGAGCAAGAAAGGAGTACATATAAAGAAAATTAAACTATGTTGGAACAAAAACAAAAACAAAGAAAACAGTTCCTCAGCCTCCTACAGAGCCCAGAGGAAACTTTGGTAATAAGCATCCTGAAGGCAGTGGTTCTTTCTGTGAAGTTCTTACTGACTATTATCCAGGAGTGATTTGTTTTCCAAGCAAGTTGATGACAAAGACATGGGGCCAATGTGTATGTTAGACATTACAGGAGGGCTTTCATCCTTTTCCGCTGGGTAAATGCACATCAACTCTGTGAAGTAGATATTATTATTTCCACTCTAAGCACAAGATGGGAGGAGATGAGATGAGAAAATTGAAGATCATGGAATTGAAGCTGATAAGTGGAATTAGACTCCGATCCGGGTCTTCTGATTTTTAAGTGTTAAATTCTTTCTGTTATACTACTATGCCATATTGCTTCTTTTTGAGATGATGAGGATAATTCATAGAAATCAAGTCCAGATGACTGTGCCTGTAATTCCAGTTAGAAAACACTGAAATTTGTGGGAACGCAGATTTAAATCTCTGTGTCCTTAATCTCTGTGCTGTGAAGAGTTAGACTTTCATTTTCAGTGTCAGCTTGGGCAATTTATCAGTAAATCAGGAAATCTCCTGAGAGAAGTCAAATTCTCAAAATAGACCCCATATAATTCATTGGTACCCTAGACCGATTCCATTCACATCACAAGTGACCATATCAGGGAGCCACATTCAAGATGGCTTTTCAGGGAAAGCCCCTTGAAAAGATAGAAGGCTGCCTTCTTCCTGCCACAGATCTCTCCCTCCCTGACTTGAACGGCGAGTCAGAGCTGGATCCCCCTGAACCCCAGGTGTGTGGAGGGCAGGCCAGCTCCTTCCCTCCCCCTGAGGCAGGGCTCTTCCCAGCATCTGAGTGTGTGAGATCACCCACGGCACTGAGCCTCAGCTGAGGCCGACCACAGCGGGCAAACAGCAGAGCAAAGCAGAAGCTTTTGTTAAGTCCTGAACATTATTTCAGCGCTGCTCTTTAGATTTAAGCTCCTGCAGTTCTTTCCATAATAGCTGAGAGAAATAAAAAACACTGCCCACACCCCCTTCCTCCCTCCTTCCCACACACCATACACACCTACCTCCTCCCCCTCACCGGGGCTTTCTGTCTGCGAGTCCTCTGGGCCTGGAACAGCACACGTTCACTACTGTCCATCCCTCCTCCCAGGACTGGTGGGCTGTGGTTCGGGCTCAGCTGGCATTTGGACAGTGGGGCAGCCAGGCCCCACAGTGACCCTCTCGGACTTACTGTCTGCTTCAGGGAGGTGACAGGTGTGCATGGGGGCAGTTTACAGAGAATCAATCCCTATTTGTACTAGCTCACTGCACACTGTGTAGAATCTTAAGCTACTTGATGATGAAATGCCGTCTTGGCTGCCCTCTCCTCAGAAGTTAGAGACCTCATCTGTTTTCCTCATCCTTATTCCTTATTTCTTATGTCTTTTCCTTATTCCTTACCTACACATAGACGAATTATTTCTGAAGTAAAGTTCTCTTTTCTTCAAGGGGTGTGGATGGTGAGTGACTACCTTGCTGCCTAAACTTTGAGGTCCCTTTCCTCAGTTTAATTTTGTCTTCAGACCACTCATCGTCCTTTGACCCTGGAACTGGAAAGTAAATGGTACATAACGCGCATCTAGCTAATCCAAGAGGCAAATTGAGTCCTGCAGACACCTGATTGGAAGCACTTACACCTTCTGACTCAGAGGAAGGAGCTCTGATTGTTGAGCAAGGAATGGCAATTTCAAAGTAGCTCCTTTCAATCAATCAGAGCTTCCTTAGCCATTTCCCCTCACATCTAGTCATAGAAATCCCAACCACAGGCACAAGCCACCCCAACTCAAAAGGGTACGACACCTGCTATTTGGGGGCAGTTGCAGCAATAGAGATTCCTAGCTCCGGACCTGAAAGGCTCTGAGACTAAAATGGAAAAAGGATAGGAAAAATTCTGTTTTGATGAGACCCATTTCATTAAGTAAGAGATGGGTCTGGCTGAACTTTACCCCTCTGTGCACAGTCCAGGATCAGCGTTTCAATTTGTAACTATATCAATGAGCTGCCAAGTGACCCAACAGGCCCAGATAGGTGACATTGTGTTAAACCCCATGACAAAGGAGAGGAGAAGATGGCTTCTCCAGGAGGAGGTTAACTGTGTGCGTTTGTGAAACATGAAGGCCATTGGGAAATTACTCTATGTGGTAAATTCAAGCATTGAAAGAGATATAGCTCTCTAGATAGTTTAGCATTTAGCAGCACTCAGAGCCCAAATTAGACTTTTGGTTTGGCAATCCCTGAGGGTATATTTTGCCTTAGTGAATGCACGAAGTACAAATCTGAAACCAGGAATCTTAGTCCACAAGCACTGGTAGCTTCTCCCAATGATACATGGGAGATCACACCAGTCTCGGTTTGGTAAAAATAGTAAAGCAAATGAAAATTAGTTGATGGTTATGACGTATGGTGATGCTTATAATGGAATTCGCATCACTGTCCCCATTTCAGACCTGGAGTTGATATGACTCAACCAAAGGCCCGTAGCCCCAAGGGGTCAGAGCCAGGATTTGAACCCAACCAGATTAAACACCGGTCTGTTCTCTCATTCCACAGGTCATACAGATAATGGCAAGTGTCTGTTGAGTATTCCTATCCTGTGTCAGGCATGGTTACGTCATCTTTGTGTAGAGAGTAACTGACGTGGATCAGACATTAGGTTACATTTCACATTTTGTTTTATCTTTAAAAGATTTTATTACAGCACAGCAGGGCAAGATGGGAGATCTCCCACAGGTGTCTAGAGCCCCAAATTTAGGGGATGCATTTTCATCTCTAATTTTTAACTTATGGTTTCTCTTGCCTGCAATATTCTTCACTCTGCCTTAGATATAGTCTCTAGCTCACTTTTAAAGCGTATCATGACTTTTACCATCTTTATAGAACTTTTAAGACCTTTGTATCAAATAGAAAACAGCCATCTATCATTTTTTCCGCATTCTGATAAACTTAATTATGTGTGCCAACCATTTGCAATTCAATTAGCCTTAAAAACAATGTAAGCATTTTTCTCTATTGGTATATGTATTTCATATAATTTGTAATCTCATATGCTATTGAAATAGCAAAAAACATATATATATAAGAATGATATCTACTTGGGTCCATCACAGTTTTTAGCATAGGATAGTATTTTAAAGATTAGTCTGAGATGTAAATGCTGGGGTTCAAATCCTGGTTGCACTGTGTACCAACTATGTAAATGTGGACATGTTTGCTTAGAGCATCAACGTTCTCATCTATAAAATGGGGAAAATAACAGGTGAGAACACTTCATAGGTGAGGATCTAATGAGAAAAAAAAAAAACATGCAAAACAGTAAGCGCCATTCCTGGCCCAGAGCCAAAGCTCAAAAATATTATTGTTGTCACACATACGGACACTTAATAAAAATTGGCCAGTGTGCAGGTTTATTGGAGTTTAGGGTGAAGGCATTTACAAATGTAAATGTCTCTGCCTCTGCAGGGAGGGACTAAAGACTTATGGATAACCCAAGGTCTTTATCATCATTCTGGACGGCAGTGGGATAAAGGTAAAGGAAACTCTCCTTCCTTCTGTACAGTACTGTTCACTGTTGCCACAGCCATTCCAAAGCATTTAATTGCACATGTCACATGCTGAGCACCACACAAAGAAGACTAAGAGAGAGATAAAATTCTCATCCACTGGGAGCTCACAATATCAAGGACATTTTGATGGACATGTGAATTAGAACATAGTGGCAGGAAAAGAAAAAACACCGTTAGCATAAAACACCTTTAAAATGGAGAGATCCCAGAAATTATTCAAGCCCTCTAACTTTACGGATAAGAGGCCAAGGATCACAGAGGTAAAATGAGCTATCCATGGTCCTTTGGTTTGTGTGAGCTGAGACCAGGTCTTCAAACCTCACTGCTCTTGCACTCAGTCACTGGCCCGCACACTTCCGGGGCATCACACACAACCTCATAAACTTGTGTGGAATGGCAGT